TATGGTCAAGAGAAGAGTTAGGAAGAGAGTTATTCTTCAACCAAGTCGAAAACCAACCCTTTAAATACATTTTCGAATAGTACAATTTAATTTATTAGACTATTTCAAAGGTTGTCGCATGGTTGCTTCCAAATTCTTAAATTCAAACCATTTGTTAACGAAACAATTGTTGGTGAAGTAATTGTTGACGAAATGGACCAAACACACCCACATTAAATGTTTTATTTTAAATTCACGATTTTAATTGGTCAATCAATCAACAATTGTGTGGGTTAAAATTTTGTGTTACCATAACGGTCTCTCCTGCAATAACGTTGTATAATAATAACGAACAGTTATTTCATGTGGCCGAATGTAGAAGGTTGAGTTCCGTGCGCTGAAATGGCCCGAGAGGAATTTCTCTACGAAAAAATAACAAAAAAAAAAGGTTGGACGGCTGTCCTATTTATATGTTTCGAATTTAATAAAATAGACTATTGTCTTGGCCCGAGTGATGTCATTTTTTTGCTCTTTGCGACGAAGAAGACGTAAAACACAACTTAATTGAATTTTTATTCTCGCAAAAGATCACATTGCATTCTCAGTTATAAGCTTGTTAATTGTAATATTAATATTATTATTGCCGATTTCTCCCATTTATGGATTGATCGTAAAGTATTACGTGACCAAACAGCTTATTGAAAACCACGTTATCGAAAAATATTGCATTTTTGACTGGGAAATTTTTTCTCAAATCTGTCGTCGCACTATAAATAAAAAATTTATGCATATTAATATGCAATAAATCAATAATAATATTATTATTTGTCAACCATATCCAAATACAATACAATTTCTTAAATAGAAATAAACACACAGGTCTTGGGGGAATTCTTGCTCCTAGTAAAAACAAATGAATGAAGGTATTTTTTTCTTACACAGAAAATAACTATTTTAAAAATATGTAGTATTTTTTACATCATGATTTAATATTTTGCTTTATAATAAAATAATACTTAGCTAAATTCTATAAAGGTAAATAAATATTTTACAACACAAAATAAACATCATCCAATTAAATAATTTGTTTTTTTTATTTCTTTATAATAACCAGGGAGTAAGTATTATATTATAATTTAACTTTTACAACACAAAATAAACATCATCTAATTAAATAATTTGTTTTTTTATTTC